TAGTATATAGGTTGAAGCAATTCACTTAATTTTTAGACAAACACACATGTGTGCATTTACCATTGGAAAGAAAATGTTAAGACTATGGAATAAGCAAGAGAGACTACTAGATAGCTTTTCATTAAAATGCTGGAACCTCTAGAGATTATCTGACCTTTGGTTTTGGTTAATCTATTTTATAATTCTATAGAGATTAAGGTTAATTAATAGGAAACTGAAAGCAATGCACATAATTCTTGTTTATACACATGCCAATAAATTCTGTCACACAGAGGGACAATTCTTCCCTCAACCTCAAAAAGCCAGTTTTACATCTATTTGCAAGTATCTTTCAGTATTCTTGCTTTATAAATGTGTCTGTTGTTTGGATTGTTCTTTGGATCAATTGTAACATCTTACTGGTTTCCTCAATTAATGAGTTAAATAACATCTTTGATCTCATTTTATATTTGTGTAAGAGTCATGATTTTACTTAAAAAAAAATGTGCTTTAGGAATTTTGGAGATCCCACCAAGATAACCAAAAGATTCATCTGAAATTGCCAGAAATGGTGCAGCCCATAGAGAACCAAGTCCAGGCACATATTTTTCTTGGTTTCCACAGGTGAATTCGAAGTGGAAGTAGAAATTTGTTGATTCTGTTTTCCTAATTTAAATACTACTCCCTATTACCTTTGTGTTTTGTTTTTCATTTTGGTTCACTTATGGCTGTTAAATTATTCCTGCTGTTAGCCAAAATGACTACAAATTTGGTGATATCTATAAATGAATTAATTTCTTGTAGAGATCTACTCCTTGTTGAGTAAGAAACAATGGAGAATGTAGTTTGATAGCCTTTTGTTTGTCTATTTGTATATTTTGAGCTCAGATCAGGAATTTCATGCCCACAAGGAAGTAGAATAAATAATAATCTGAACCATTACTTTTTTGTTTTATCCATGTTTATTTTTCATCTGTGGCTGAAATTGTAGAATGGAAGTGATAAGCCTTTTCTATATCTATGTGTCTATATAGCAATAATTCAGAAAGGCCTTTATGTCTCAGTGTAAATGTAGAATGTTTTCCTGTCTCCAAATGGTATTAATAAATTAGATTATAAAATCTCTTAAATTAAAGGAGCTCTGTTCTGATTGAATTATATAGAGAAATAATGTTTATATAAGTTGAATGTTACTAAAATTCCCAGAAAATAAGGAAATCAAACTTCTAATACTTTAAATGTGCCCCCTTCACTTCCCACATTCAGAAACTCTCATTGAGTCTCCTTACTTTTAATGGCAATATATCTGTTTGCACAGTGTCAGTAAGAATCTGTTCTCCTTTTATTATCAATGTAATTGAACAAATTAAAATTTAGTATTTAAGAATGATGCTTATTAATCAGGTCAACTAAAGTTGACTTTATGGTGCCAATGCTTATAACGACCTCCCAGAAAAACTGGCCAGGTACAAAGTTTACACGTAAGGAAGGTCACTTTCTTGTAGGCCCAAGTATCTTAGGATATTTGAAGTCACTTCAGAAGAAAGGAATTTACCCAAATTTATAGATCCTTCCATTGAAATCCAGTGGGCAGAGTTTCTTGGGCTTGCTCTCTAGCCTTTGGATAGTAAACAATAGAGGTTTTGAAAAGCTCTATCTGAGATTCCTTAGGAAGACTTCTAGCAGAGCAATTTTAAAATGGACTATGTGGTAATTAACATTCCTGCTACCTCTGTGTAAATAACCAGGCCAAACCTAATGAGACTAACCTTAGCTTGTGAAAAATTTTTTTGAGATCATTTTGATCATAATGGGAGAAGACTGTAAGAATACCATTTTTTAAAGTTTTGGAATAATCAAAAGAGATTACAAGATGCCTTTGGAATGGAATGCTGGAGCCGCCAGGGACTACCTGGACCCACCCTCCGAAAAGACTATTTAATAACTCTGTAGAGACTGAGGTTAACTTGAAAAACAAACCCTGATGATAATGCAAATAATTCTATCTATAGACATAAAAATACATTCTGTCTGGTGTAGGGACACCCCTCTTCCATGGAAAATCCAGTGTTGCATCCATTTGTGAATTTATTTTAACATTCCAGATCTATAGATGTGTGTTCTTTGGGTTCTCCTTTAAAGCAGTGTAACATCTTACAGATGCCTTCTTTTAATTGATGAGTTAAATACAATCTTGACAAGTATTCATTTTATATTTGTATGAGAGTCATGATTTTATCTTTTTGAAAATTGTTGTTTAGTACCATTGTCTCATTAAATTTTCATTAACACTCTTACTTTCCTGTTGATAGATTAGGAATTGGAAATTCATTCATTCTGTTATTCATTCAACCAATATTTGTTAAGTGCCTAATATGTATCAGGAACTATACTCTGAGGGTTAAGGATGCAGTGGTAAACCAGAGAGCCCTCACGGAGCCTGTAGTAGCAAAGAAGACCTTAAAGAAATCCACGAAATATAATTACAAACTGTGATACTCAATGAAGGAAAAACATAGATGCTTGAGGAAGTGACTTTTAGGCAGAGGTAAAGGGACTGGTGAAGGCCTGATACGAACCTGTGTTTGACCTGATAAGGAACGAGAGAAGGCCCACGTGGCTGGAGTGCAGAGAAAGCAGGGAGAGGAGAATGGAGGAGGGGGCAGATGGCTGTGCCTTGTTTACAGAGCTTGGAGTTTATTCGAGATCAGAGAGCCACTTGCCTGAGGTCACAAAGTGCCTGAATTGAAAATCTGGGTTGTGTACTGTGAGACTTACACATTCTTTATCATTAAAAAACCCCCAACTTTCTTTTTTTGGATTTAGCAAGGTAACTCAAGAAAAAGTAGGGAAATGGGAAAGAGACAGGGAGGGCTGGTGGTGGCTGGGGGTGGGGAGGTTGGCTGGGATGGGAGTAAAAGGCAGAAAATTGTACTTGAACAACAATTAAATAAAAAAGAAAAAATAACAATATCAATATATTAAAAAAAGAAAAAGTAGGGAAGTTTACCCTGCGTTTTTCAAAATGATTCCTTCTTCTGGATGTTGTTAACCTTTCACCTCATGCTGGACTAGTATAGACCTAGAGTGAGGCTTAAGTAACATTTAAGTGCATCAGGAACATGCAAAAACTCTGGACACTATCTGCATTTCTGTGACTTGCGCTTTCCTGATGCTCAGATTACCTTGCACAAACCAGACATGTAGCAAGTATTCACTGAACACATGGTGAGGCGTGTGTTCCTGGCAGATGACTGAGAGATAAAAATGTGTTTTTTTCCTAGACCAGGCTACCATGTTTCTAGATTGACCTTTGTTTTGTAGCATTTTTTTTATTGTGCCTTTTGCTAAAGCAAGCATTGATTGATTCATTTGTTCACTACTGCATTCATCCTAATTGATCTGGAAGAATATAAATGGCAATAAAGCAAGAAATAGAAACTCTGCTGATGTGATTCAGTATTCCCAGGGAGTAAATACTGGGCTGGCCAAAAAGTGTGAATGTTTCCATAAGATAGCTGTAGTAGTGCTTATCTGTCTTTAACTTCATTTGAAACAATTTTGTTAGATTGTACTGGGACAGCTGTCATTGCAACAGGCATTTAAAGAAACACCAAAATTGGTGAAACACCCAAATTGGTGAATTTTTGTATACCCTATTTTAATATTGAAGATGAAATGAAATATGCAACATTTTCAGCATATTATGCTTTATTATTTTAAGAAAGGTGAAAATGCAACTGAAATGCAAAAAAAGGATTTGTTCAGTATATAGAGAGGGTGCCATGACTGATAGAACATGTCAAAGTGTTTTACAAAGTTTCGTGCTGGAGATTTCTTACTGGACAATGCTCCGCAGGTGGGTAGAACAGTTGAAGAGGATGGCAATCAAATTGAGATACTAATTGAGAACAATGAATGTTCTACCACATGAGAGATAGCCAGCATACTAAAAATATCCAAATCAATAAAGTTATTGGTGAAATGAGAAATGTGTCCTTTATTTTACAGAAAAACTAAATGGACTTTTTGGCCAACCCAATATTATATAAACTAACTAAAAGCATATATCACAAAGATTTCTGAGCAATGATGGTTCATAACTAGGAAAGTAATAGTTACACTTGTGGGAGGCTTAGCAAGTTGAGTCACTTATGACTCTAGGTTCTCTTGAGCTTGGCTATCCATCCACCACCTGGGCAGCAGGCAGGTTGTAGGGGCTATAGGACTTTGAATCTCTAGGTGCCCGAAGAACCCTTGGGAAGCAACTTTAACTCCACAATACCTCCAGACAACGAATAGAAAATGAGATAGAAGTAATTAAAGACCATCTCACTTGGTTATATTTGAGATATGAGAAAGGATTCACTTAGGCATTCTTTACACTTCAGCCAATTAAATTAAGTAGCAGGGAGATGTTAAAAGGTTACTTTGGACATTTAGTCCTTAGTTATTCATTCATTCACTCTTTAATTTGCTTATGTATTTGACTGACATTTAGTATGTGCAAAATGCTAGATATGGTTCCAGGAACTGGGGACACTGAAATATAGAACCCTTGTTTAAACTTTGCTTAAAAACTAGGAATCTACTAGTTTCACAATGACTGGAATTAGAACTAAGACATGCATAGTTTAAATACTAATTACATTAATTCTAGCATCATATTTCTGCATAATAGATATTGAAATAAGATTTTTAAATGCTGCCAAAATAACATCAGAAACCATATCTGCTCAGAAGCTTGAACATTTCCAGTAATATCACTTGAACACAATACTTTTAATATGTAATAGCACCAACACTTAACTCAATATTAAGTCTGTAGAATAGTGGACTTTAGAAGTGGAAGGGACTCGAGTGCTCTCATCTGTCTAACCTTGTCTGTCCAGAGTGAGGACTGGGCTTATCTGAGGTCACCTAAGAGAATCCACTGCTGAGCCAGAACTCAAACTCAGGCTCTCAACCCCACCTCAATGCTCCTTTCTTGAGATGCCTGGACACATAGAATGGTTATTGAATCACTGACCTCTGCTGGCATCCTCTTGTAAGACTGGTATGGGGGTGAAGTAGGGATCCGTGCGATGAGAAGCCGGCAGAACTGTGAGGCTGCTGACGGTGGACCCTTGTACTAACTTCTGAACCTTCACCTAGATGGTCAAAAATTTGTTTTCAGCAGACATTTTTGCTTTCAAAATGAACAGTTTTCTTCTTATAAACAATAAATAAGGTTATGAATAGTTTCATTAAGTTTTAATAAAGTAGCAATATCGGCTCCGATTTTATTGCTCATGAGTACCCTGTGCTATTGTCTGCTGTCAGGAGTTTGCGTAATTTAAAATAGTTAATTAAATCCAATTAACATGTTGTGTTTTCCACTATGCATAGTCAGTATAGTAGTTAATAAAGGAACATTAAGATTTTGTTCAATTTTAATGACTACAATATAAAAGTGCTAAATCTTGGCAGAAGAAATTTTGAATAAAGCAAAATTTTGTACAAGCAAATTTTCCAGGAAATACATATTAGAGTTTTGAGGCTAAAAAAAAAAAACAACCCTGGGAGAATTTAAAAATAAACATATCAGTCAACATTCAGAAGTTAAAGATGAACCCCGAGTAGATGCTTGCAGCTCTCCGGAATGGTTAAAGACATGAGATCAGTTACAATAGGTGATTACTTTTCCTAAAGTTATAAAATGCTTTTATTATAGTTATGAAATATGAATTGTTGCTATTAAATGGTGTCTAGATTTTAAAGAGTATATGTATTGCATATAAATCATATTTAATTTATAGCCCAAGAACAATAGTTTTACCTTTATTATAGGAAGTTATGACCTACCTGGGCCCCCTCAGCAGGGAAGATGCAACTGTTTGATATTTCTAGACTGATTTAAATTTTCAAATAATCCAAATAGTAATTAATTTGTGTAACTTCTGAGGGAAACAGTTTGCTATTTAACCAGTAAAGAACCGAGACAGAAAGGTTAGTAGGTTTGTTTCAGGTCACACAATATATTAGATATACACAGATACACACACTTTAAAATATGCTGTATTTACACTAGGTACCCACACTTAAAATCACACAATTTTAAAGTTAATCTGATTTTACATTAGTGAAATTTGCCATTGGACTCGAATGTACTGCACCTTATTGCTCATCAAGGTCATGGTGACCTGAAGGAAAAAAAGAGGAAGTTTCATCAAGAACCGGGGGAGAAAATCACTTTGCAAAGGAAGTATCTGTTGGCTGAGCAATGTCTGTGTGGACGAAGTTGTTGGGGCCCTACTGCCAGGACAGGCACTGAAGGGAAACTGTAAAGAGCTATCAGCCCACGAACAGCGAACCCTTTCATGAGGTTTGGTGAGGACAGTTTGAAATGACCATAAAGGGGTTTTTTTTTAACAGGGAAGCAAAGTGCAATGCGTTTCCTCCCAGGCGAGTTTGGGTGGGGAGGACAGGGGAGTACTGGGAGCCTGGCCTTGAGGAGAGCGCGGAGCTCGTGTGCACGTGGCATTACCATGGGTCACGGGTCCCGCTGACCCATTTGGTCTCCTGCTCACCCTCAGCTCTTCCCTTCACACCACACCTCCGAAAGTCTCCAATCAGCGGGGCTGAGAAAATCACCCGGTGCCCTGTACCCCAGACACGGCACATACAGAGCTGAGGGTAGTCAGCGTCAAAAATGGCAGGTCTCAAGTGGAACCCAATCAACAAAACAAACAAACAAGTGAAAAAGAACCAGAAGCATGGAAATAAAGAACAAACTGACAGGGACCAGAGGGGAGAGGGGAGGGGGATGGGGGGACGGAAGGGGGACCTGTACAAAGGACCCATGGACGAGGACAATGGGGAGGGGGAGGGGCAGGGCAGGGAAGGCAACAGGGCAGAAAATGGGGACAACTGTAACTGAACAACAATACGTAAAATAAAATAAAATAAAATAAAATAAAATAAAATAAAATAAAATAAAATAAAATGGCAGGTCTTCAGTTCGCTGATTGATAGGAGGGTCAGGGAGGCAAAGGTAAATTGGAGGAAGAAAGATTCAACTTAAAATTGCCAAGCACTGTGAAGATGTAAAATATAGGTTTGACGGTTCCAGGGCACACAGCACAATTCATCTGGATTTTCTGAAAGCCTTTGATAAAGTGCCCCTGACAACCTGCTCTTGAAAGCTAAAGTGGCAGGATCCAACATAAAACACGGCGGAAAGTGTGACACAAAGGACAGGGCAGAAGGCAGGTGACGTTCAGACTCTGTCAGGCAGCCAGCACGTTCACAATGCTGGTTTCTTGAATTCTTCAAATTGCCTCAGTCTCAACAAAGTAAAAGCCAAACCCAAGGGGGCTGTGCAGAAAAGGGAGTGAGGGGTGTGTGTGCAAGCATGTGTGTGCGAGCGTGTGTATGTGTTTAGGGGTGTGAAGGGGAGGTGACATCTTGGCAAGTTTATAGAAATAAAGCCTGCAGACAGTGTCGCTGGATGTGAAACCTGGGCCTGCTCTTCTCTCCCGTTCCCATGGTTAAGATAACCATTTCTGAGAGAAGGACTGTAACAACCTTCAGCCTTTACTGAGCACTTACTATATCACACTAACTTTAATACAATAAGCATTAAATTTCATGAGCAATGGAAGAGCTCAGGGCTGTGGGAGTGCAGGAGAGGGAGTAATTAGCTCTGCTTGCTGGCATGGCATCAGGCTTTGCAGTGATCTCAACCCTGGCTGTATGTTAGAATCACTCAGGGAGCTGTTTAAAAATACTGCTGCCTGGGCCCTAACCCTGGGCCATTAAATCCAAATAGCCGGTCTGGAGCCTGGACCTTGGTATTTTTATAAAGCTCCCAGGTGGTTCTGATGTGTAGCCAAGGCTGAGATGTACTGCAGCAAGTGATATTTAAATTGACCTTAAAAGATGCATTGAAGGGCCACGTGGAGAAGAGAGAGCAAGGACAGGTAGACTGAATGGCAGAGACACAGTGCGGGGGCACACGAATCCAGGGAGAGCTCGTCGGAGGCGAGGAGCCCTTCGTGTTGTGTACAGCGGGAGGGTAGGTCGGGGGATGAGACTGGAGAGACAGGCTGAGATTAATGGAAATTAAAGATACCATCTTTATGAATGTGGGGATTGCCTAACACAGGTCGAGTATCATCTCCTCTGGCTGCTCCTTTATGTCCGGTTTATGTTTTATGCTGGAACCATGCTTTGGAGTTGATATAATACAAAATATCATATTAGAAAAGAATCATATTTTCAATAGAACATTGTCTCTTATATCTGGTACTTTATTACTATTTCTAAAACTATAATTCAGAACTCTATCACTTTATGCCTAAGCCTTCTGCAACAGCTTAACATTTTTTTCAATAGTTAAAAAACACAGAAAATCTTAAGGAAGAAAACAGCAATTATATTCCTGTCAGCCAGAATTCATCATTGTTAATATCTCAGTGTATTTCCTTCTACTGTTTTCAAATAGAAAAACCAATTTAGTTCATTATTCTGGAAATAATGACATATGTTCATTATGAAGTTTCTAAATAATGCAGAAAAACTCAAAGATAAAAGTTAAGAACCCATGCCCAATAGCACTAAGTGACCCATTACCCTTGATATCTCTGGAATGATTGATATATTGTTTTATAAAAAATAGGATTTATATGACATTATTAAACTTAATTTGACATGAATTTAATAGGAGGGAAAATGGCCGAATTAAACCAACAAAGCACTAAACCTCAAATAGATATTTCTTTACCACAAGATTCCCGTGTGTTAAAAAAAAATTTCCTCTGCCAGTGTTGCCCAGTATTTTCTTTAAGGGCCAGACAGTCAGTGTTTTAGGCTCTTCGGGTCCGTGGCGACGGCTGGAAAGCAGCACAGGCAACGTGAAGCCAAAGGGTGGAGCTGCGTCCCAACAAACCTTTACTTGCAAAAGCAGGTGGCCGGCCCTCAGGCAGTAGCTCGTGGGCCCCTCTTCCTCCATTCAACACAGGTGAGTATGACAAACACTCAGATTTTTTTATCACATGGTTTTATTTTAGATAACTTACCCCAGCTTCAAAAGGTGAGGGCATTAGAGCTCTATTGCTACTCCCATCTGTTCTTCTGGCCTCCCCATTTTATTATATTACTAACTTTATACTGTCCAGATTTGCAATATCTGTTGGGAAACCATAAGTGCCACGACTGTTTAGTATTAGCTCTACCTGGAGATGGACCCAACACTCACCAACAGTCCTTTTGTCCTGTTTCTCTCTGGGCTCGACTTCCTTATTTTCACCAATTTCGTAACTGCCTCGTTTTGGTCCCCAATCAGTTCCTTCCGAGTGTTCGTGGGCTTTTTCTTCTCTGAGCCCTCATGCTTGAATTACATCTGGGGTCATCCTTTCTCTTCTCAGAACTTCGTAGACGCTGCACCCGTCTCCAACAATGAGTATTATGAAATCCGATGCCAGCCTTGTTTTTCACCCCTTGTAGGTGACTTTTCTTTCTGCCTGAACGTTTAAGCATTTTTTGTCTTTGAAGTTCAGGTGTTTAACATAGAAAACATGTTTATGTTAAATATGCTAAATTGAATTTTCCTGGGATTCATGGTTGTTTTTGTTTTTTGTGTGTGTGTGGGCTTTTTCACCTACAGATATAGTCCTTTCTTCACTTCTGGAAATTTTCCATACATCCTATCATTTGATACATCTTCTCTTTCATTTGCTGGGTTCTCTGTTTTAGGGACACCAAGTGCCTTTAAATGTAGGCTCATCTTTATCTTTCATATTGTGACACCTAACTATTCATTCTCTCCTGGTTTCTTTTAGAATAGAACACCCCGAGTTTTAGCTGAGCGCATGTCTATCCAGTTCCAGACTGCATTTCCCACTCTCCCCTGCGGCTAAATGTGGGTGTGTGACCAAATTCAGATAAGATATGACCAACAAGATAGGAGCAGAAGAGAGAAGTGTAGCCTCTGGGCCGTCTCCTAAGAGTCTTGCCTTATCTCTTTCCTTTCTATGGGCTGAAACCTGGGTGTGGAAAGGAGCTGGCTTGAACCAGTGAACTGAGAGCGTCTATAACCGCAGGGATGAGGAGCTGATGGAACATCAGGACAGCGGGGAACCACATCTTGGAGACTTCAAGGAGCAGGGCT